AAGTGTAAAATACAAGTTATTTTTATGATTGTTTTGTTGAATACAGATTAATATTTTACATTAACTATTTATTAATCAAGTAATCATGACAAAATAATTTTTTATTACTTACGATTTTAAGTATGATAATACGAGATATATTTATTTTAATTAATCAATTAATCAAGTAATTGAAACATTTTATTTTGATTGTTCGATTTATTAAATAATAAAAATTTTTTATTCCGATTACTTGATTAATCAAATAATAAAAATTTTTTATTCCGATTACTTGATTAATCAGATAATTAAAAAATTTTTATTCCGATTACTTGATTAATCAGGTAATTAAAAAATTTTTATTCCGATTACTTGATTAATCAGTAATCATTAATTTAATATTAATTTTTTGCTGATCCCTGATAGCATATATGTATACGCATGGATAGCGTATATACGGAAGCGTTAATAATTAATTCTCGAAAATGATATATCGTACTGTAACTTTATTACAGATGGTTGAATTTGTAAAAAAATAATCTTTAATTTGGTAAATAAAAAAAATTAAAAATTAAAGAAAATTACGGGTGGTGGGGGTATTTTGTTAAACAAAAAAATTAAAAAAATTTTTTTATAACTTTAAAGTACTCTTGAAATCGTACAACTTTTATAAAAAAAATTTTTTTCTCTCTTTTATACTTCCGACGATATTCGCCTCGTAAGAAAAATTCTGTTTTTTTTCAAAGGGGTGTTTCAATCCTTAAACATGAGTTAGCGCACGTATAAAAAAATACGTGTCTCTTAGATTTTCGTGTTTTACAATATATTTCATGGAGAATCAAATCGGTTCCGGACAGTTGTGAAACTTCCTTTGTAAGTTAAAATAAGATTTTTAAATAAAATTTTACTTTTTATAAGTTTTTAAAAATAGTATTTTATTTTCAAATAAAATTTACATTTTTATTATAATTAACTTTTACATAACTTCATAATGTAATTTTTATAATATAAATTGTTTTGACGTTAATAAAAGTTATTGTTGTCAACCAATAAAATGGCAAACACAAATTATTTGGAGACAACTAATTTCTCAAGTTATTTTTACGTTCATTTTGAGGAAATCATGCTTTCTTTAGGAATAAGGCGTGCCCTCATATATGATTCGTAGAATATAACAGAATTACAAGAAAATTACAAGTGACGCATTAAAATATTTTACGAATAATAACTTATATAATAAAATAGTAGTAATGATAATGTTGTTAATATACATTTATAATAGAAAATAGTAGTTAATAGGGCTCCAGGCGAAGGTCTACTTTAAAAAAAAACCTAACGCGCCATCAGTGAAACCTCCTGAGTGATGTGGAAATTCGCTGTACTATTTCACATCTTTATCACTACGCAATACCAGAAAACGGAAATTGCATAGTAATAAATCTGATACACGGAAAGAACGATTTTGCTTAATACAAAAATAATTTTATTGGATCATAAAAATAATGTGGTTGAAAAGTCAAAGTGGTTGAAAAGTCAAGTGTTAGAATATCAAAATGTTTTGCTTTGTTCATCACTTTTAAGTTTTCAACAAAATTATTTTCAGATCTGTATCCAGCAAAATTAGTGGCTTCTTTCAGCAAAATCGTTCTTTCCGCGTGTAACAATTGAGATTTTTTAAGTAAAAAAATTGATTACACGCGACAATACACATGTCAGAGTTTGTTAATATTTATTTAAGCCGTGATTCCTGCTTCTCCTCACTTCGAATCTCCTTACATTAGCTGTTATGTATGTGAATGCGCGACGAATGTGTGTGTGTGTGTGTGTTTTGTCATCTCGATTCAGTCTCGCTCGGAGAAACAGGGATTGGGGAAAGGGTGTGGCACGTGTCCGTCTACCGCTATCACATCTAAATAGGCTTCTTCACATTCGTCTCTTTCCAATATCTTATTATAATTTACTTTTATCGGCCATTCTCAATGTCTTTTACGTTAATTTTCATCCACATTCTTGTACGCGCCGTTCTTATATGTTCAAGTTTCATAATACATTATTCAAAATCATCCTATATTTTATTATTTAGAAAGATATAAAATTCTAAAACGAATATTATTTTCGGTATTATCGCTTAAAAGAATAACAAAAATTAATTAATAAAAATTAAGTTAATAGAAAAAAAATTGACGCTACAAGGACTTGAACTTCATCAGTCTTAAATATTTATAAAATGTATAAGAAGCGCAGATCTTACAATTAGTCCGCGATCAGCCACATTGCGTATTCTAACAAAATTGTTCTAATACTCGACGGACCGCTATCTATTGTTCATTGGTTAGCTATATATTGTTCACCTACGCAGTTCTGGCGCACTATAAATAAATATATACTAAAGCTCATATATTTAGATATCAACTTTCATATAAGATTCAATTCTTTTTTTCATTACCGCAGTTTGACTCCATTGGATTATTTTTTGTGGGGTGCCGTTAAAGATAAATGTTACGCTAATCATCCAGAGACAATTGATGCCTTGAAACACGAGATTGAAGTTGCCATTCATGAAATTCAAGCTCATACAATCGAAAAAGTACTTCAAAATTGGGTTCATCGTATGGGCTACTGTAAGGCCAGTCGTGGAAGTCATTTAAATGAAATTGTGTTCCATTCTTAAATGTCAAAGTGCACTCTTTTGAATACAAAAAAAAATTTTTTTAAATACCAATGCGTTTTATTTTTACAGCTAAATGAAATTGAAAACGTTAGATGGCCCACCCTGTACATATATAGAAATACGAGGGTCGTCTGAAAAGTTCTGAGCCTAACATAGAAACAAGTAATTTTTCGGTCAAATTCAATTTTATTTTTCCACATGATCTCCTTTTAAGTCGATACATTTTTTCCAGCGATGTTCCCACCCTTTTAATTCAAATAATACTGAGCGTCTTGCTTTGTAAAATAGGCGTCTACGGATGCGATGACCTCCTCGTTCGATGAAAATTTCTGTCCTCCGAGCCAAACTTTGAGCCTAGGAAACAGAAAAAAGTCACTGGGGGCCAGATCTGGTGAATACGATGGATGGTCAATTAATTCGAACCGCAATTCATGAATTTTTGCCATAGCGACTACCGAAGTGTGAGACGGTTGTGAGCGTTATCTTGATGGAACAGCACTTTCTTCTTTTTCAAATGCAGTCGTTTTTTCTCAATTTCTGCCTTCAGCTTGTCAAGCAATGATGCGTAGTACGTCCCTGTTATTGTTTTATCTTTTTCAAGATAGTCGATCAACACAATGGACTGTCCCAAAAAACAGTCGCTATCACCTTTCCCGCCGATAAAACCGTCTTCGCTTTCTTCGGAGCAGGTTCACCCTTCGCAGTCCACTGTTTTAATTGTTCTTTCGTTTCAGGAGTGAAGTGATGGACCCAAGTTTCATCAACCGTTATTAATCGACGCAAAAAATCCGACTCGTTTCGCTCAAACCGCTCCAACAGGGCCTTAGAAATGTTCATTCGAATGCATTTTTGATCCAGAGTGAGCAAGCACGGCATCCAACGCGCGGTTAACTTACGCATGCCTAATTCTTCCGTCAATATATGACAAACACGTTCTTTTGATATGCCAACAGAGCCTCTGCTATCTCCCTAACCTTAATTCAACGGTTGTCCATTATCATTTGATGAATTTCTTCGATGTTATCGGTGGTGGTCGCAGTTGTTGGCCGTTCCGAACGCTCATCATCAGCTAAGCTGGTACGACCACGTTTAAATTCAGCTACCCATCTTTTCACGGTGGCAAATGATGGGGCAGAGTCCCCGTAAACAGCGTCCAACTCGGCTTTAATTTGCGTAGACGTATTGCCTTTCAAATGCAAGAATTTAATTATAGCACGATATTTAATTTTTTCCATTTTTACAAAATGACGACACAAATGATTGTCAAACAAGAACTGAACGTCCGAAGTGGCCACAATTGTCACAGATATCTTTCGTAAGTATCACGATTATAATACCAGAATGGCTTTGACGAGTAATGCCATCTTCATGACGAGGCTCAAAACTTTTCAGACCCTCGTACATATACAGGAAATACAAAAAAATACAATAATTTTAGCGATGGTTTAAAACGTGTATAAAAAATAATTTCAATAAGAAATAGTATTTTTTTTATCTGTGCTCTAATGAAGATGGAAATGATATAATATAAGATAATTACGAAAATCTCAACTTATTTATATAACGACTACTTTAAATCTTCAAGATGATATATGTAAAGTATATCACTGCGATGCAGAGATTGATTATATTGTTCTGTAAATAAACAAAATATTTCGGGTTGAAACTGACATTGTTTAAATTTTTGTTTATAAAAGTTCATAATTACAAGCATATATAATTAACTAGCTTGGCTTATCAACCCTTCCCCGGTAAAAAATTTTTCATGTATGAATATGTATAAATATATGTATAAACATACATAAACACGCATAAATATTCATAAACATGTATAATTATATTTGAAATATGTCTATACATGTTCATACATCCTTCTTTCTTTTGTAAAATTACTTTTTAATGTAATAGAAATAATAACAGTAACGTGAAAACATAAAAAATAATTAAAGGGATAATTTTCGGATTTGTTTTAGAAAAAAACAAGTTTGGAAAGATGTAAAAAAAAATTGCTCATACATAATTATGCATAATTTTATATATAATTATACGTAAGTAATTATTTTACATTTCTTCAAACTTGATTTTTTCTAAAACAAATAGTGCGAAAATATTACCTTTTTAATTATTTTTAATGTTTTCACATTACTATTATCATTTCTATTACACTTAAAAGTGATTTTATAAAAGAAAAAAGGATGTATGAACATTGTTACGTCCTGGCGACTCCACGATTCTTTTCTTTCGTGAAAAAAATCTGTTTCCTTTCTCTCTCTCTAAATATTAATAATTTGCGAAACCTAAGATAGAGAGTCAACAACACGGTCGATTAAATATCGATTCTCAAATCAATAGAATAACTATCTCCATGAATAATTGCAAACATTAAACGAAAGTTAATAACGTGTTAATCATCAATATTCGATCGAGAGTACGTGTACGTCTAGTGGCTCTATGACTCATAGATAAGTCTAAATTTTCCAGCGCACAGACAAACACAAGATTCCTACCGGTCCCATTTTTTAGAGCACATTTCCCAATAAATT